TCTTTTTTTTCTTCTCGTATCAACGTAACAAATTATATATTTCTCTTCGTACCATAATAGCCTGGAAACATTGAAAGCACAATTGCACGGTACAACCCAGTATCTGAATCAGAAGCATCACGTTGAAACAATTTTCTATCGTTTCCGCGAACCTTGACGAAAATAACATTTATTCTCTTTATATATAGCTCGATTCAGTAATAACCTTATTTTTCTCTCCTAAATATAATTTACTAAACAATTTGAAAAAAAAAAGAAAAAATATTTTCTCAAAACTTTTTTCAATAACTAACCTGTTAACATACTCGTGCCTCTGAACAATTTCTTTCAATCTCGTCTCCAAATCTTTTTTATCATAGGTCGGTAATCGGCTGAGCTCATTTTTTATACCCGACAGTTGTCCGCACACGTGCAAAATCAACATGGCCACGAAAGTATCAACGGCTGTATACGAAGTGGCCGCGTAAAGGGCGGCCACGAATTGACCGAGCATCGTCAACTCGTAATTCGGGCTTACTGTGATGTCGTAAGGGAAATATGCACGGAAGAGCAATTTGTTTTCGTTGTATTTCATGGAAATGTATCGTAAAAATACGTAAAAGGCGACTACGGTGTGACACATCATTGTACTTCTTATTATAGTGTTTCTAGTGATGTTCGCGATTCTCGCCATTGTTTCTTGTTCAGTTTTGCTTGTAACTTTGATCCAATCGTTGGTCATACAATTTAAAAGAGACTTCAATGCTTGAAAAGGAATATAAAATAAAAAGTGGTGGATAGAATATGTCTTGTAAGTTATATATATATATATAATAATTTTGCAAGAATATTAACTCGTGAAATATAATGTGAATATAATATTTACGTTTACCATTGATCCAAAAAGCGATAGTTTTTAGAAGGGAAAGCGTGATGGTAATATTACCCATTGACAGATTCTCGATCACGAGATTAAAATCGTTCGAAATTAACGAGAGATTGATGGTTTGTGGAGCGCAAATGAAACAAAATATCATTAGGAACGGTATCAGAACGAGGTAATTCGACGCTTGGTTCCATTTCCTCTCTTCTGGCCAAATACCGATGAGCTTCATCGTGTAATAGTTCCATCCATACAAATACTTTAAATCTAATTGTAAAGAGGAATATTTGACAAATAAAATTTTGAATTCAACTTTTGAATAGATTATAAAATACGTGGTAAAATGAAAAAAAATTTTTTCGTATGACAGAAAATTACAATTTTTCTTTTTCTTTTTTTTCTCAATATTTAGCTATTCAATTAATATGAAAAGTTACCTTTTTGAATATTCATTGAAGTTTTTTCCCGTAAGTGAATCATATTCTGCTCTCATATTCAAAAGGTACTCTGTCGTCGTGTTTCTTAGCGCATATCCCCTTCTCGCGTTCAGAAAATACATCGGGACATCAATTATTCATGAATATCTAGTTTCCAACTGCACGCTTAAATCGAATTTATCGTTATAACACGTTTGATCGTTGCAAATATTCGTAATTATTCATAACCTTGTACGAAGGAATAATAAAAAAAAAAAGAAGAAATAAGAGCATTGCTCGTATTTTTTTTCAACTTTCTTAGTCCATATCGTTTTTCTCTTATCTTTCGAACGAACTTTCGATAGAAATGATCGAACGTAAAATATTTCGATAAAATTACTTTTCAACTTAGTGATATTAATTTTTTTTTTAAAAAAATAGAAAGAAAGAAAAGAAGACGATGTAAAAGATGAATATAATAATATCAATTTTTTTTTTTTTTAAGCTTTAAGTGATTCGAAATAAGAAAAGTAAGTAACCTTTCACTTGTGTTCACACCGATAAAACGTATACATACCGTACTCTGTATTATAATTTTTATTAAAATGTTTTATTAATATTTTTTTTATTAAAATGTTACACTTTTTTCTCTTTTTTTTTCTTTTTTGCAGTAAAGATCTAAAACGACAGATCGAAGACGATGAATCGATCAAACGAAGAAGGAATCCTTTAAAGACATTGTTATTTCTTACAAAATGTGAGTAACGTTTCTTTTTTTTTTTTTCTTTTTTTTTTAATCAGGATATACGAATCATATTATTTCAATACATATCAAAACGTTTATTCGTATAATCAGAGTGCTGTGTTTTTTAATTATAGTGATAAAATCGTTTCGATCATCGTGTTATTTCTCTTCGACCGGCCTATCTTTCATGGCCAATAACACGGAAAGATATCCAGCTGATGTTTTCAATACCTGACGGAATTGAACGTGATTGAACGTGATTTGAAAATTTTCAAAGATCCAAGGAATCTGTTTCTGACTCACAGCGTTGAAAAGTTCAAGGGAGAACGGGCTGAATTTTCCAGCTGTTATTTGAAACGACACGTTTGCACGGCGTATCACGATCACTAATAAAACGGCGTGCCTCGATGGTAAATCGTACCAATTACAATCGTACGTCGATCGGCCAATACCCGTGCTCTGAAAAAACCAGTATCCATTTTTTGGAAGAAGAAAACACTAATTGGACAATTACTCATTTTATCATCGACTCGAAACGACTCAACTTGTCCTAGAAGAGTTTCTCCCACGTAGCAATAGATGAAAAGATGAAGCATGGTGTAGATCACGTGTATGATAAAAAATATCATTCCAACTATCGGCACATCCGCCTCCTCTCGATCTACCGACTACGGAGGGGAAGCGTAATTAATGTAAAGAAAAATTCGAATCGAAATCGAAAACTTATAATATCGAGTTAGTTGCGTACGGTTATCATGCGATATCCGGTCAAGCAGAACATCGCCGTGCAGATTAAGGTTTGAACGAGCAACGTGATGTTGAAACAATCCTCCACTATCACGGCAAACCTTCGAAACGAATGATTCTGTTCAACTTCGATTCCTAAGATCGGTCATCCTCAAAAGCAATCTTTCGAATTAATCTCGAATCTTATTATTATTATATATTCAGAAATTTTCGCTTAAAAAGTTATGGAATATCTCGATTTTTGCACGATCCTTCGTCTCATCTATTATCGTTTCGCGCAATTATCGAGCTTCCACTTGGTAATTCTTAATTTCAATAATAATAAATTTTTCAATTTAATTTTGAAACTAATCAAATTACGCGTCTACGAGATAATAAATAATATTAGTAAACCTCGACAGATGGTTGTGCCTGTTCACGATGGATCTGAGACGTTCCTCGAACGTTTTATAATCGTTCCTCCTCGTGGCGTTGACCAGGTCCTCGAGAGCTGTTCCAAGAACGGTTAATTGGCCGCACAAGTGTAACACGAGAACCGCAAGGAACGTGTCGAAGCAGGAATAGCATATCGCGGTTAGAACGGTGCCCATCAACTGTCCCAGCCAGGTGATCTCGAAATTGGGGCTTCTGCTCGTCTCGTAAGGGAAGGTGGCAGGGTGGAGCAACCCCCCAAGATCCGCTTCCGACGCGTTCTCCGCGTTACTCCAAATCTGAAGGGAGACGAAGGCGAAGAGCATGAAATACGTGAGGGTGGAGCAGACGATCGATATAGCTCGACCGATTCTCGCGTTCCTCAGCATCGTTTCCCGATCTTGGTCGCCGATCGGCTCACTCCAATCGGCCAACATTTCGCCGAGCAGTTGGGTAAGAGCTAAACAAAAGTTTTATATCCAAGATGTTTTTGGTTAAACTTTGTTAAAATTGTTCGATTGAGGGTTAAAATTAACTTAGAAATAATTTTTACAATATTTGTAATTTTGAAGAATTAATTAAAAAGAGTTAATTAGAAAATAGAAAATTAAAAAATTTAAATCGAATTATCGAATTTTGAATTATTAAATAAATAGTATGGCGATATATTTTTATTGTAATTAGAGAGAAAGAAATTCAAGATATTTTTAATTGAATGTTATAAAACTGTTCAAATTCAGTTATGCGTTCAATAGCAGGTTAAATTTATTTTATAAATAATTTTTATAATATTTGTAATTTTGAAGAATTAATTAAAAAGTTAGAAAATAGAAAATTAAAAAATTTAATTAAATTATCGAATGTTGAATCATTAAATATTGTATATTTTTATTCTTTATTAGAGAAAAACAAAAGTTTGCTTGGATATATCTAAGATATTTTTAATTGAACGTTGTAAAACTGTTCAAATTGTTCAATTATGCTCTCAATAGCAGATTAAACTTATTTTATAAATAATTTTTATAATATTTGTAATTTTGAAGAATTAATTAAAAAGTTAGAAAATAGAAAATTAAAAAATTTAATTAAATTATCGAATGTTGAATTATTAAATCATTAAATAGTGTACATTTTTATTCTAATTAGAGAAAAACAAAAGTTTGCTTGGATATATCCAAGATATTTCTGGTTAAACATTGTTAAAATTATTCAATTGCGCAACAGCGGGTTAAACTTAATTTATAAATAATTTTTATAATATTTATAATTTTGAAGAATTAATTAAAAAGTTAGAAAATAGAAAATTAAAAAATTTAACCAAATTATCGAATCATTAAATAGCATAGCTGTATATTTTCATTCTAAATTATATATTAAAGAAATTTATTCGTTAATTCGATCATAGTGATTGAGTCTTAACTTCAAATAGCGGGAAAATTGTATAAAAATTAAATTTGAGAAATGAACGAATATTGATTGTCGGATCATAAAAAATTAACACTCACCTTTTTTATAGTATCTCAAAACGATCTGCTTGATCAGTGCAAAGACGATGGGTATATTGATCGACAGATTTTCGATTACCTCGTCCAAAGACGTCGATTTCAGTATCAAATTCGCCGTTTGGGGGGCGCAGATGAAGGTAAACGTTACGAGAGTCGTGAACCAGAATATCAGATTCGACATCAATCGCGAGTTTCTCGACATTTTCCTCGGTTCTGGATACACGCCTAGCAACGTCAGATTGAAACGGTTCCATCCCATCGCGAAGTCCATTCTCCCTTCCTCACTTTCAACAATTTCTTCTAAATATATCGATATATATATCGATCAAAAACAGCTAACCATATTCTCTGACAAAAATTTCACGAAAATTTCGCCAAGTTATAAAGTTTTCGATTTTCAAATCGCTTTTGAAACTTTATAATTATATTATCACGAATATCTCGATTATTCGCCACGCTTCGACGCCAAGTGATTGACGACGAACCAATCCTCCGCGCACCCCTTTCGTTCCGCTCATTACGCATTCCCGCAATCCGAAAACCTTTCCCCCGTTCAAAACTTTTAATAACCGTAATCTGCAAGTTTTCTTTCGAGAACAACTCGAAACGACACCTGTAATTCGAACATTCGTTTCGACTCGTCGAAAGAAAAAGCGGAAAATGAAAAAAACTTCGTCCATCTTCCCTTCGTTCTACGAGACGTGTACAGGACTTGGACTTTCGAGAAAAAAAAAAAAGAGAAATGTCGAGCTCGAAGAGATTAATTATTGATATCGAGAATTTTGTGCAGTGACCACGAAGAATCTTAAGGTACGTGTATTTGTTCTAAAGTTTTTACTCCATCTATCTCCTTAAATAATATCTCTGATCGGTATTTGCGATTAACAGTATCGAAAGAAATCTTTTTCAGGATCTCTTTTTTATCTCAAATTAGATCGTGAGTCGAACGACATCTTCGACGTTAGTCTGAGTTTGACAGTCGTGGGAATAGAAATATTATTTTCAAAGTTTTTGAGATTTGTAAGCGTGGAGTACAGTAATGAAATTAGTTGGAGATGAGTTTGATTTTTCGTTATCGAATGACAAAATTACTTTTATTCGTAAAGAAATTAACGATAGAGAAAGCAGTGATGAAATAAGATGTATAAAAAGGGGAAAAATAAGAATAATGGATAGCAATCAAGTGAAGATATCGCGGAAGACATGGAAAATTCCAGATGGATAACACGCATAGAATCGGAAAATATATCGCGAAGAATACGATTTGT